TTGTGCCAGGCCAGTTGTTATTGTAGCTCACCTGATGGGTAAGATTGTCATTTTTAATATTGGTTTTGTGTGTGTGTGTGTGTGTGTGCCAGAGCATATATATGGAAGTCAGAGGACAACTTTCAGGAGTCAGTTCTTTCTTTTCACCTTTTTGAGGCAGTCTCTTTTGTTGCTTCTGCCATGTAGTGTTTTCCATGCTAGCTGGCCCATGAGCTTCCAGGTCATTCTCCTGTCTCCACCTCCCATCTCATCATAGGAGTCCTGGGTTTACAGATGAACCCCACCACATCCAGTTTTTTTTAAATGTGGGCTCTAGAGACAGAATTCAGGTTATCAGGCTTATATGGCAAGCATTTAAACCTGCTGAGCCATCCCCCTGGCCCTGCTTTCTTTTTGTAATTAATATGCAAGTCAGGTATGATGGCTAATATCTGCAATCCCAGCACTCTGGAGGTTGAAGTAGCAGGTTTTTTATGAGTTTAAGGTCAACCTGAGCAACATACCAAGTTCTAGGCTAGCCCTAGCTACATAACAAGACCATGACACGAAAGCAAACAAATCCTAAATTAGTCTGCAAAATAATAGGTTTCTGTTTTACATTTTCATGCATGTATATCATTGTACTTGGCTTGTTTTCATCTCCCCTTACCCTCTCTTATTACCCCTGCCCTTCCCACTAGTCCTCTTCCTGCCCCAGAATAATGCCCCCTTTGCTTTCACATTTTACATATGTACAGCTTTTAAATCTAGATTCTGCATGTGATATTTGTCTCTTTTATCCCAATATCCTCTCATGTTCTCTCTTCCCATTCCCATTAGTCTCCTTCCTGCTTCCAAATAATCTTCCTTTTAATTTTGTGTCATATATGTTTTTCTTTCTAAAACCTACATTCTGCACATGAGACAAGTAAGTATGCAGTATTTAAGTCTGATTTATTTAGTTTGACATGATGTCTAATTCCATCCATTAATATGAGAATGACACAATTTGACTGTTCTCTATGGCTGAATAAAACTCCACTGTGTATATGTATACTACATTTTCCTAATTCATTCATCTGTTGAGGGATGCTTAAGCTTATTCCATATCTTGCCTATTGTGAATAGTACCACAATAAACATGGATGCACAGGTATCTGTGGTATGCTGTCTTGGATATCTTCAGGTATACACCCATGAGTGGAATAGCTGGATCATATTTAGGGGCTGCACTAGTTTACATCTCCACTAGCAGCATATAAGGACTCTTTTTCCCATATCTTCACTAATATTTATTGTTGTTTGTTCTTTTGATGATAGCCATTCTGTCTGGAGTAAGACGGAAGCTCTGTAGAGCTGTGATTTGCATTACCCTGATGGCTAAACATGTTGAACATTTTTCCCATATATTGATTAACCATTTATATTTCTTCTTTTTTTCGGTCTTTTTGAGGCAGGGTCTCCCTGTAGTCCCAGCTGGCCTGGAACTCACTATGTAGACCAGGCTGGCATTGAACTCACAGAGATCCGCCTGCCTCTGCCTCCCAAGTGCTGGAATTAAAGGTGTGTGTCACCGAGACTGGCTATATTTCTTCTTTTGAGAGCTATCTGTTAGTTCTTTTGTCCACTCATTGACTGGATGATTTATTTTTTGGTGTTTAACTTTTTACTTTATAGATTCTAGATATCAATATCAATACTCTTGGTATATAGCCAACAAAGATGTTCTCCCTTCTGTAGGATGTCTTTTCACTCTATTGCTTCCTTTCTTATCCATGCAATCTTATTTGTTAATTCTTAAAGTTCGTTCCTGTACTCTTGGGGTCCTTTTCAGAAAGTCATTGTCTATTGTCTATGTATTTTAAATTGCTTTCCCTTGGCAATTTCAAAGTGTCACATCTTACGTTAAGGTTTTTCATCTATTTTGAGTTTTTTCATTCTTCTATGTGTAGACATTTCCCCAGACCCATTTGTTAAATAAAGGTGCTGTCTTTTCTCTGGTTTTTGGCTTCTTCCTTGAAAATGAGTTAGTTGCAACTGTGTAGGCTTACATCTGTGTTCTCTATTTGGATTCATTGGTCTTTGTGTCTATTATTGTGACAGGACCAAGCTGGTTTTGCAACTAGAACCCAATAGTTAAATTTACTATTAGATACTGTGATGCCTACAGCATTGCCCTTTTTGATGGGTGTTGTTTTAGCTATTTATAGTCTTTCGTGCTTCAATATGAATTTTAGGATTGTTTCTTTTATGAATAACATTATTAGAATTTTGGCAGAAAATACATTGACTCGGTCTATCCCTTTCACTAATATAGACATTTCACAACATTAATTCTGTTGACCAATAAGCACGGGACATTTTCCCATCTTCTAATGTTTTCCTCAGTTTCTTTTTTCAGTGTTTTTGTTTTTTCATTTCTTTTCATATAGTTTCTTTCACTTCCTTTAATAGGTTTATTCCTAAGTATTTTATTTGTCCGATGCTATATGAATGGATTTTCCCCCCGATTTCTTTCTCATCACATTTATTTCATTGGTATATAGAAAAACTACTGATTTTTGGATGCTGCTTTTATAGTCCCCTACTTTGATGAAATTGTTTATCAGATCTCAGAGTGTTCTAGTGGATTGTTTAGGGTCTTTTAAGGACAGAATTATATTACCTGCAAAGTGGAAAATTGGTATTCTTCCAGAAAAATGTACCTTCTAAGAGCTGCTGAGAAGAGAGTTCTGTTCAGTAGAGAGCAGAAAGTCCACAACTGGTAATGGAAATGGTAGAAAACTTTTAATGAGCAATGAGGAACCCAGGAGTGGGAAACGAAAACTGGACAAAATCTGCAACAAAGACTGCTTGGTGTTTATCACAATGAAAATGATGGCAATTGCTCATTTCTGGATCCCATCCCAGATCTACTGAATAAGCCACTCTGAAGGTGAGTTCCAGCACCTCCATTTTTAACAAGCTCTAATGGTGGTTCTCATGATCCTAACTGTGAGAAACAATCATCTGAGATCCACAGACATCAGAGAATAAGGAAAGATGTGTTTACCCTGTTAGAGCATAGAGGAACAATTTCCTCCAGGAACTGGGACTTTTAAATAAGCCCTCCACATGATTCTGATGCCGGTGGCCTGTGCATCACAATGGAGAAATTTTGCCTGTAGGGTGACAGTGTCTAAGCAGGTGGCCTTTGGATCAATATTTTAAATACTACTATACCTTACCTGTGCAAACTTTGGCAAGTAAATTAATCCATCTGGTTCTCAATTTCCTTATCAGAAAAACAAGGTTAGAAATAGTGAGAATGCACTTCATGTTGTTCCAAGAATTAAATAAATTTATACACGAAAGGGGAGGAGGGCGCTCTAGAGGGAGGAATAATGGGAGACAGGTATTATCAAGGGGAAAATAGGGGTATTTTGACTGGAGAGGTTGGAGGGACATTACAGGGAGAAAGAAGAGAGATAAATAAAGCTTTGGTGGTGTGAAAAAAGAGGGAAATGCATTGGCTCAAAAACTTACTGAAAATACAAATGCAATATCTGAACATGAGTGCATGTGTAAACCTGAAGGCTGTATAACAAGAAACACAGTGCCAGACAGGAGAAACCCCATTTCGAGTTGTTGGTCAGGGTAGTCCAGGAGACACCCAAGGTAACACAAGCTATTGCCACAGTCCTTGATTGCCTCCCAAAACTTGAAGGTAAGACCCTATTATTGAAGACAGAACATACTTCAGACACAGGACTTGGAGCAATGGAGCTGGAACTGACCTGGAAACCTCCTCCCTGAAGACTAGCTCTCATAGTTCTAGAGGATACTTTGCAAGCTGCTAAGGGAAAAAAAAATCAGTCAATGGTCCAATCCCTTCTTTAAAGTCTAATGACCACAACAATGACTGGCACAACAAACTATATTGATGCAGTAGTGGAACTTTTTTTAAAAATATTTTTTAATATTTTATTTATTTTTATTTTATGTGTATGCGTGTATTGCCTGCATGTAGGTAAGTGCACTGGTGCCAAAGAGGCTGTCGGATCCCCTGGAACTGGAGTTACGGACAGTTGTTAGCTGCCATGTGGGTGCTGGGATTCGAACCCGGGTCTTCTTCAAGAACAACCAGTGTTCTTAACCGCTGAGCTATCTCCTCCTCCAGCCCCAGTAGTGGAACTCTTATTTTGGGGTAATCAACAGCTGTCTAATTGGGAGAGAGGTATTATTTCAATGGGAGAGCGCTCATGTGTGGCATTGTAAACATGGCCAAATACATGCAGCTGGAGAGGTCGTAGATCCTGGAGAAGACCCTATCTCTGTCACATCCCTAGACAAATGTGATTTCTTACTAATATAGATCCTTATATTTACAGACAAGCATACCAGTCACCACTCATCAAAGAAGCTTCTTTTTGCAACAGATAGAGGCTATTACAGAGTTCCACAACTGATCACACACATAGAATATATGTCTGAGAGATGCCCAGCCCTAGGTGACACATCTGCAGTTGAACCTCTCTATACCTAGGGCGCATGAAACATGTTGGAACAGGGAGTGGAGAGAATACTAATGCATCTCTCAACTCTTACCAGTGAAGCTTCCTCATGCAACAGAGGGTGATGCACACAGAAGGCCACAACTGGCCAAACTGTGAAGAATGGGAGACTGCAGAGTGTGTGTCCCTGGATGGGACTTCTACGTTGAACCTAGCCTACCCATGGCTTGGGGAAACATTGTGGAGGAGGAGGCAGAGAGATTGTAGGGGCCAGGGTTGGTGTATGAACATAAGGAAGCAGAGTCTTCCAGACCTCTGAGAACTTGCTCCTATAGACTTGTAGCAATGATAGCAGCATGTACAAGACCCATGCAAACTCAATTAGACAAAACCCAGCATAGAACTGGGGGAAAGGGCAGGAGGCTTCAACCTTGATGGAGGAAGTATTGGCACCTGGGAGAGGGAGAGTTGATCTTCTTTAAGGGAGTGACTCTAGATAGGCTGACTAGACTCCAGTGGATGAACTCACACTGAGGGACATCTGGGTACACAGGCTTGGCTTGATAAGCTTTGACATGTATGGAAGAGTGCATGAAATCTGGTGGGGAGAGTAATGGGGGGGGTGAGGATGGGAGAGGAGGTCTAGGTGTGATTGGATGTATTGCATGAAATGCACAAAAGTTTAATAAAACATACATTGAGGAAAAAATGTGTATGAAAATTGTTTAAAACATAAACTTTCAAGAGCTAGGCATGGCTGACTGAGATAGGATTCTGGGTTCTAGGCCAGCCTAGACTATATAGCAAGACCCTGTCTCAAAACTAAAACCCATAAACACTCAATACTTAGTACCTATTAGTGTTTCTACTTTTATTGTTCCCCATAGTTGGGGGCTCTAGGGCCCCTGAAAGTATGACCTGTCGGTCTACTCCCTTCCGGGGCCTCGCTGTTGCCGAGGAGCCGTTGCACACTGGTCCCGGTCATGGAGGGTCTGGCGAGGGAGAAGCTGGTGGGGGAGAGGAAGGTCTTGGGCAGCAGCAAGTACAACTGGAAGAAACACCGGGGAGACTGTGTCAGCTGACAGCTCATTTTAATATAGCGAATCAGAAGTTTTTATAGGGAAGTTTCGCAGGCAAAGAGGTGGGGTTGGGTTTTTGGCAGGCAGGCAGGTAGAGGGAGGAAGGGGATTTCCAAAGCTATGTGGCATCTGCTCATGGTACTTTCTGGCTGTTGTCCGGTCACATGATTTACAAGAAACCTGATTAGAGTTGGGGGAATGGAAACTTAACCTAGAGGCAGTTGGGTAAGAGATCATGGGACAGCCAGCATGTCTGGAACCAAGCAGGCCGACCCCTGCCGTCCTCACTAGGAGGTCTCTGGGGTTACGTGGCCCAAGGTTACTTGTGGCCCTGCTCTACATTCCGATCAATTTTGGTCATATCCCAACAATGACCCTATGAAAAGTATATTAATTAGGCAATGGAATATTTAAGCCAGGAAATGGAAAAAGTGGTCTTGTCACCAGCTCAGGAAAAAGAAGACTTAAAAATCTAATAAAGGGATAAAGTAAGGGCTGTCCCCTTCTTTGCTAGTCTGATAGGCTCTCTGGTTGATGAGACTCACTGACAGGGCATGTCATAGTATGGAGCTACATCTGGCAATGTGAGTGAAGGAGGGCAATGTGGGAGTGCTGGGAAGATAGGCAAAGCCGCCACTCAGTCCCTCCTCCAGGGGGAGCTCACACTAGTTAGTAAAAGAGACTAAAATATTCAAGAAGGACTTGGTTGATAGAATAGCTTAGGAACCAAATGATTGCTTAAAATATGTCTCATTTTGCCTGTAGTGGGAAGCACCGGCTTTTAAAACTATTCTTCAGTGAGCAAAGGTATTTTACTACCTGATTAAAGGACTTCATTTCTAAGGTGAGCCTCCTGGAGCAGGCACTCAGAGCCATGCCTCCAGCCTGGGGCCAAGCTGCTACCTAGGCTTTTGGTGCTGGCTTCTCTTTCTGTACTTTTGCAACATAGTCTTGGTCTGGACTCCAGTTAAGGGGGACACAGATCGTCTAGAGAGGACGCTGGAACCCAGGTCCCATAAGAAACAGTCAAAGGATCTATAGCTGTTTAGCTTAACAAGAAGTCTCAAAGCAATGTAGGCTGTGCACCTCTGAATGGTTGTGAAAAGGCAAGAAGTTCTGATGGGGTGTTGGGGGTGCCCAAGGGGCAGAAGTGGGGCCCTTAAGTAGCCAGAAACCATGGGAAGATGTATTTTAGCTCAATACAATAAATTAACTTTCTAATAGAACTGATGCACAACTAATAGAAATAGATTTTTTAAATTCCGTTTGTGTTCAGCAGCCTAGCTTCATTCCGTAACCTTTGGTTTCCTTTAATATGCTACTTTAACATCTGGTAACCAGGTTACATCTAAATATAGTTAGGAAATGGATGTTGGGGCGCACTCTTGATTTTCCCACAGGCCACTATTAAGTCCACATGTCTCTCCTTTTTGCTACTGTCACCTCTTCCCTCCCAGATTTCCTACAAAGTAGGACACATTTCTCTAGGTCCTTGCTTTCTTATCCTTGAAACAAACCCCATAGGCTCATTAGGATTTAGAATACCATGTCACTGATAGGAGATGACAAAACAGACAACATAAGGAGGTAATCCAGAAAACTGAGAACTCTGGCCAAGTTCCCAGAGCAGCTGTCTACACACTAAACAGATGCTTCTTAAACTTTACTTCCCAGAGATTTCATTACCATGGAGATTCTGATTCAGGATCTAGAGATTCTGTACATACAACAAGCTCCAGGTGACGCTGATGCTGCTGGTCCATGGATCTGAATCACATCAATAATGGGGCCATCGTTGCAGCTGTAGTTATCGTTGTGATTGCAATTCATGGTGCCATGGCAGAGTTGTAAAATGTCCTTCAGGAGTAGCATAAATAGGTGAGGGAAAGCCAGGGGATCTGAAAGGGGGACAAAAGGCTAAACTAATTGTTCTTCAGGGGCCTCTGGATTCTCTAGGCCCTAGATCTCATTCCACCTCCATCCCCTTTTGCCAAAGTGAAGGCTTCCTTAGCACTTTCTTCACAGATTGCCCTTCAAAACAAAATGATTTTTCTTCATTCAACATAATTAGCAATAGGTGTCTCTAATCTTAAAACTTCTCCTCACACATACATTAAACAGAAAGTTTGCTAGTCATTTTTGAGTAATAGACATAGGGAAAAACCCCATGCTGATTGCTCCTTCCACTAGAGGCCCATCCAGTAAGGAATATAATGATGGGGAAAAAGGCTTGGGCCCAGTTTTATAATCTTTGATCTGGGCCCCCTAAACTTTTTTTGTGTGTGTCCTGGAGAAGTGGCTTTGCAGAGTAAAGCCCAGTTCATTTTAGAGAAGAGACGGGGTATAGAAAGATTGGACATTGTACTTATTTTTCTCATACCCTCTACCCTCTTTCATAACAGAAGCACAAATACCTCCCCAGAAACAACTGTGCTAATTTTCAAGAGTTGGTATCTCATTCTCATTGTTGCACACAGCCTGGGCTCAGAGCCAAATGAGCCAGGTGTAGGAAACACCAAGGATCTCAAGGAGGGGAAAGGTTTCTGAAAGCTAGCTATGTCTCCAGAGAAGAGCCGGACCCAGGCCTCTGGGACACCATTCCCTTCACACCATGAGGAAAAGTGGCGTGCTGTGCTCCAAGTGGTTCTCATGGGACCCCTGCAAGCCCTTCTCCCAGCAGCTTCCCCTTCACATTACACTTCTGTGCCGGGTCAAGGCCTTTGGCTGGTTAGAATTTAGGTGCCAAGGCCTCTACCAGCTGGCCCATCACGAGTGTGTTGTGGGTGATGATGGCAGCCCTAGCTAGACATAGTTAGGCCCAGAGATGAAGAAATGACAGGCAGGACTTTCTGGTGACTGCTGCTTGGTAGGAACATCACGGTTGTCGAAGAAGGGGCATGTTGAACTTCAGAAACAGCTTGATTTAAGAAGAATCAAACGGGGTTGGAATTCTAGCTCCCCTACTTCCTAGCACTGAGACCTTGAGAAAATTACATCAGTGCTCTGTGCCTCAGTTTCCCCATTTGCAATTTACCTCCTAATTGTATTGTAAGGATTTAATGCATTCCTTTTGAGAGCACTTGTCTCAGTGTAAGTGTTCTTTCCCTTGACTTGGCAAAATCCATTTATTAAAAAATGTTGAAACAGAGAGGCCAGTCCTAAAGTTTGGACAAACACCAAATTGGAGACCTCCCAATGCCCTACCCAAGAAACAAATATAAAGACAGAAGGTTACATCAAACTTCTCAGCCTGCCTTCCACTGTGACAATGTGTTGTCTGTCACACACTAGTGCTCTGGGTCCATGAACAGGTTGAGTAGGGTTCATATATCTATGCTGGGTTCTTTACAGTCTGGCATTTTTATGAACAAAAGAAGTCACTTGCAAGACAGCTGACCTGAGGAACACTTGTCTTATGTGAAGCTAAACAGTCCATGAAGTATTTTCAACTTTGCTCCCTGAAGCCTTGAGTCTTCACAAATTATATTTGTTGGTCCTTCCCTATTCCCTACCCTTTACCTAGCTAACTTCTACAGGCCACCACCTTAAATGGCATAAAAGTCATTCGGGCTAATACTTTAGTCTTTATCTCAGCACTCTGGACAAGTAATGAAATAATTGCACATTTCTGAACAAAAGCTCTTTCCTTCACTAGACTGGAAGCTCTTCACTGAAGGACAGTGACTGTTACTTTGTTTATATCACGTGCCTGGCATGTAGTATGTGTTCAAAGTATTTGTTGGATGACTAAATGACCTTGGCAGTCACTTTGAACCCTAGGTCTCTAGGGTCACAAGGGCAAGCTATTTATCTCTCATGCCCAATAGAAGGTCACAGTTAACCATCCAGAGTTCAGTCTTGGAAAGCATTAGGATACTGAAATGTCACATTCCTTTTTTCCCTTCTATTTTCTTTCCTTTCTCCGTGCATCTCTATTGGGGTAGTGACAGACTCCTTAGCAGCCATTTGGCTTCCTCAACAGTGACAATGAATTAGCCAGCAATCACTGATAGCTCTTTTGGGTTCTGAAAAAAAAAAAAAACAAACAAGTCAGTAAAAACAGAACACCAGTCCTGGTCCCATAAAAAAGATTCTAAATCCTGATGACAAAGTCCCTAAGTGCCCCAGTCTGGCATATATATTCACAGGCTGGCAGATGTGTTGAAGAGGCCTAGATTGGGGAGTCAAGATGACTCTGACTCTGTTTGCCAGGAGAAATGTGGTTTCTGAAGTTGGGGAGTCAAGAAGTTTCCCTCCTGCTGAGCACCAGAGAAGAGTTCCAGAATGAACAGGAAGTACAAAGTGAGAGCCAGTCTAAGAGGCAGCCCTGAAGGAACCATCCATCAGAGGTTCAAATTGCAACTGCTCGTCTATGCATTGGCTGAAAAATCAAATTCCATTCTGGACAAATTTCCTTATTGCATGCAAGCTGCTCTAATTTCCAGAATGTCAAATACGTGGCCAAATGCAATTACATTTTAAGCACAGCACTCACTTGAAATATAGCACAAATTTCTAAACCAATTTTAATCACATTACAGAGAGGGCAGACATGCTCAGTGATCTGAAATTCCACCTTATTCAGAGAGCTTTTCCTGATTAGGTAGAAGAGTGGCCAGTTCACTGCCTCTGCCCTACGTAGCTTCCTATTCACTCGCCACTGTCAGGTATAGACATAGCCTTATTCTTTACATTATAGAGATGTGTTTGTCTAATGGACATTCCTGCCCCTGTACCTGTTCACTTGATTCATTGCATTCCCTTAATGTCTGAGCAGCCTCTTGGCTGTTTCATTCAGGTACATCTCTGTGAGCACAGGCTTGACCTTGGATTCTGTTCATGCCCAACTTACCCCAGCTATACCCGTCCCAGGTACTGAATAAGAGTTCTTTGAAAATGAAAGCTCAAAGAGCCATGACCAAACTGGGTACATGCTGGGACACATGTGACAAGTGAATGTAAGCTCTCTCCACATTTAGACATGTCACTCCTATCTGGACAGTGAATGTAAGTGCACTAGAGTCTCTCTGGTTTGGAGGACTGGTATGCTCTTGAGAGGCCAGCATCACCAGAGATGTCTGCATGTATAGTACTGCTATAGGAGACTGGATAAAGGATAGCCTGGGTGCCACCGGCAATGGCCTGCTCACTGACAAAAGTCTGAGGGAATCATCCAAAGGCAGGTGATATGTAGGAGAGCAGAAGCTGGCTAATTATAGGGTCTGCTACTGACTGACCTCTGGAGGCCTTCCCACTGAGAAATCTGTTTTGATAGAGATCAAAACACAGAATCTCTGGTTTGCCAAAGAAGGTGTCACCATCATCATCTAGGCAAGAATGCACTCCAGACTCCACAAACAGCCTGCCATGCCCACTTCTGTTACCTTGGTTCTCATTCATATTCATTCTCTCTCTCTCTCTCCCTCCCTCCCTCCCTCCCTCCCTCCCTCCAAATCCACAAATTTAAAATGGTAGTTTCACCTGGAAATTAAGAAAAAGTGGCCCAGAACACAGATGTCAGCCTCACTCAGGATGCCAGCCCAGGCCTTCTTAACTCTTCTAGTGTATATTGATGTCTCAGGGCTGTAGCTCCCTCAGGCACTGCTACCACCTAGAATTTGACCCACTGCAATATTCATGACGAGGACAACAACTTACCCAGAACTCTGGCATCAGACAGAGGATGGTGTGATGAAGGCAGGCTAAATGAAATAGACAATTTTTGGGGTCCTTTCCCAATGCAAGATTCTGGGAGTTTTACAATTGTAACATTCATGGACCTGAAATGGCCAGACAGAATTCAGTTGCGGGCTTCATACATTTAAGAGGAACAAACTAGCTGAGTATGGTGGTGCATGCCTTCAATCCTAGCACCCAGAAGGCAGAGACAGGTGATTCTCTGTAAGTTCAAGGACAGCCTGGCCTACATAGCGAGTTCCAGCCAGGACTACATACTGAAACCCTGTCTCAAAAGAAAAAACAAAACAAAACAAACAAACAAACAAAACAAAAACCAAGCAAAACCCAAAGAGGAACAAACTAAAATATGTGCAGGTCAAAGTGAGAAGGACAGCATAGGGGCTGGAAACCATGTCTCTGTCTCAAAACCAGCATGAATTAAGTGTCCACTGTGTGCTAGACATTGAGACGAGTACTAAGCATGCAGATTAATAAAGTATAGACTTTTGATTTCAAAGAACTTGAATGATCAAATCTAGAAATATGAGTTTAATAGTAACTATGTATTGAGTGCTTACCATATGTCACACACTGCTCTAAACATTTTGCGTGTGTTATTTGGTTTAATCTCCATTTCACAGATGAGGAAACTAAACCACAGAAAGGCTACATTTGTTGACAGCATAGTACCATGATGATTGAAAGAGTTGGGACTGCCAAGCCTGGAAAAGAGAACATTCAAAGGAATGTGAGTTCTTGTCTTCAGTCTTCTGTCAGAGTCCAAGAGAATACATATATTTGTATTTGGAATCTACTTCCAACTGGATTCCTGGAGGACAGAGCTGGAACCCAAGACTGGAAGCTGCTCTGAACTTAATAAAAGAAGAAGAAGAAAAAAAATCTGTCTTAGAAGTCAGAGTTGTCTATAGCTAGAACAAATGTCAGGATAGGGAGGGAGATGTTTAAACCACTCAGGAAGTGGGGAAGGTAAAACGATGCTCCTAAAAAACTCTTGCAGTTCTGAGGAGTTGTGAGTCATCATTTTCTGGGCATGCTGGCTTCAAGACCCATAAATAACCCCTTTAATGCCCTTTAAGTATTGGCCATACTTTAATTACCAGAGATAAGCATGCTCACCTGTGTTCACAGGAGGCTCCATGCATATTTCCTGTTTCTCTTCTTCCATCACCTTCCCAAGGAATTTTAAGTCATCCTTTTCAGGAGTCCCTTCACAGCTTCCCTCTGATTTCATGCTTAGGCCTAGGGCTGTGGAACTACAAGCTTAGAGCCAAGCAATGGCTGCTTCTCATTGGGGCACTCAGACTGCAGCAGATGGCCAACAGGACTGTCACTACTGGCAAGGTCCATGTAGCCCAAGGGCTCTCATGCCTCACATAGAGTAGACTATAATCACCCATTAGTTGAGCTGAGGAGCCTTTCCAACTGCCAAGACACATATTCTGTCCTTCTTCCACGTCTGGCATACTCATGCATTCATACTGGAACTTAGCAGAGCATCCAGCAGTGGAAAATATTGTTAGAAATAACCAAGCTTGTGAAGTGGCCAGGCATGGCCCTCTAAACCTACAGACTATAGGAACAAAGGTACATATCTGCCAGAGGGAAACATCTTTGGTTCTTGGGAAAGCTGCTCAATTTTTCCATCAGGTAAGGAAACTATGCCTGGAAGAGCTTCATCCTACTGCTCCACAGAGGGAGTTTCTACAAAGAGAACTATAGGTCTCAAAGGGCCCTTAAGGTTAAGGTCAGGCTCAGGCTGCCAGAGATCCAGGGAGCAATGATGTATTGGGAATATTTCTGAATTATACACTCCTAGCTTATTCTCTGAAGGCTCAGATGCTTCATCAGAAACATTATCCTGAGGGTATGGAAGGGGAAAGGGTACCACTGAAGGGCTCTTCTCCTACTCCAAATTCCCAAACACAGGTGCAGTCTCCCTCCCTGGAGTTCACAGCTTCCAGCCAGGGTATAATCTCAAAGAATCAGATAGACAAAAACTAATAAGACTCTCCTGGAGCTCCAGATATACCAAAGAAAGCAAGCCTGTGGAAGAGTAAGAGCTGGCCTGGGAACTGTTGATGCTGTGTGGCAGTGGCCCATCACGTTCTGGAGACAGTTCAAGGTCATGGTCAGGTGCTGAAGGGCAAGAAGCCTACCCAAAAAATGTCTATTGGGAATGCTGCCAGTTAGTTCCTACTTAGATCGTGTTGGATATGCCAAGATAATGACACTTGTGTTGAATGTTGTTTCATGGCTTCTCCCAGTCACATTCCCCTTAGTCACCTCTGAGAGTCAACTGGCAATTCCCCAAGGTGGAGTTAGTGGATTTGGTTTTAGAGGCCAGGTAGTCATCTGACAGGTTAAGCTGAACTAGATGGTTGAGGGTAGAGGAAGAAGTAAGAAGGTAATCAGAAGTCAGTTATGACTCATGCCTAAACCCACAAACTGGTATATCCCATCCCACTCCTCAAATGAAGGTGACTATAGGACATTGGGGCTCAAGTAGAGCTACCACAGGTTAACGAGGCTAAAGACAGAAATGTGGTGAAAGAGAGCTCCTTACTCAGGGGACTTTGTGCAACACAGGCAAACAAACTAAGGCTCCTGCCTCATTTTGCAGAATGTACTTATTGTTCAGGTTGATGTCCAAGAGCAAAGACAAGCTCAAAAAGATCCCTGCCCTGCCTCACCATTGCAGGGGGCGGGGGCGGTTCTAAGAGTCAGTGCTAGTGCATGACCATAAGGAAAGAGTCTTCCAGATTCCTGGAACCTTGCTCATATGAACTTACAGCAGTGGTGACAGCATGCACAAGGCCTACGCAAATTCAGACAAAAACCAGCACAAAACTGAAGAAGTGGGCAGGAGGCCCCAACCTTAACTGAGGAACTATTTGTAGCTGATCACTGCTGGGTAAGGGAAAGTTGATCTTCTTTAAGGGCTAAACAGGCTTCAGTGGATAAACTCACACCAAGGGACATCTGGGTACACAAACTTGACTTGATAGGCCTTAACATATATTAAAGAATGCATAAAATCCTGTGGGAAGGCTATGGGAGGTGCAAATAGGGGAGAGGGGTATAAATATGATTAAGATGTATTGTATGAAATCCACAAAAATTCAATAAAAATATTCATTGAAAAAAAAGGTCTCTGCCCCAAGACCATCATGTGGATTTAGCCACTTACTTAGCAGTCAAGCCACTGTTATTCTAAGAGGTCTAGAACTCAAAAATGACAAAGAACTAGGCTGCTCTGGGGTTAGCCAGAAGACATGGTCAAGAAGGTTAGATGCTAAGATGAGGGAGCAGAGCCATTGAAGCAGGCGAAGGGCCTTGGAGGCCAGCTGAAAGTCAAAATTCTAAGTGTTGAAGACTTGGTCTGGCCTTGGTAGCAGTATCTCCCCCTAAGCCTTTTAGTAGGTATTAAATGGGCTAAGTTGTTCCATATTCCATAGGAGCCCTGCCAGAAAAGTTCAGAAGTTGGGGTCCCAACAGAAACTATTCACCGTCATTATTAGGATAAGAAGAGAAAAGAATATCTTTGAGCTAGAGAAAGGGCGGTATAAAATTGAGGAGGAAGAACTGAACCAGTCACTGAAAAGAAAGGCCTTGACCGTGTTCCCATGGCATTATCAAATGTTTCCACACTCTAAGTACCAGAAGTAGTTTTTCTGTCCTCAAGGATGAAACAGAGAAGTGACCCACTCAGTGTAGAGAATTTTAACCCAAGTCTGGCTGATTCAAAGCCCATGCCCTTTCTATTTATCTTGCCTCCTTGAGTGAATCTTTTTCTAGCTCAAAAAGCTCTTGTTCCCTATGGCAACAGGAAATTTGTTTCTATCCACAAATGAATCAGGTGATCCTACAATGCAATACAATTAAGACAATCGTTGAATGCTAGAGCTGGAAGAGACCTAAGGGGCCATTTCTCTTGGACACATCTCTCATTCTATAGCTAGAACAACAAAAGACTCAGAGATGGTTTGTGTAGGGGGAGAGTAAACCTGAGTCAGCCTGCCCTAGGAGCTAACCAGAACCAGGTGAGGGAGAGAAAGGAAGCCAAGGTACAGAGAATTCAATTCTAGATTCGTTAGGGTGGATGCTGCCTACCCATAGTCACGTCTCCTTGGAGATGGGCACCCACCCAGAGCATGAGGAATTTCCTTCTAGTCCCTTTCTGTAGGAAAGTGGTTGGGGGTTCTTCTTCCCTCACTGCATCCCCACTGCCCATAAAGTAGGACTTTCTGGGTAAAAATTGGTTTGAGGCAAAAACATACACTTTAACTTCTGAGTTCATCAATAACTAGCTTAATAATCCTAAGTAAATTCTATAACTGCCCTTAGCCTCAGTTTCCTCCTGTGTAAAATAGAGATATCAATACCTCCTTCACAGAGTTGTGAAGATTCAATGCAGATAGATGTAAAAAATTTTAATACAAAACTATGCATCTATAACCATTTGCCTCTTTCTTATTCCCTGAAAATTCCCATATTTTCACCCCAGACTAGGTGAGGAAGGGGTGAAATTTCAGAGCCTCAGGACAGAGGCAGCCTTGTGGCACAAAGGCAAACTTTCTACTGCTTCCTGTGAGCTGTAGAGACAGCAAGGCCAGGAGCAGGTCCAGTTCTGGTTAGGCCATGCTGTTGGGCTCCTTCCTTCTAACTATGAACAAAGGGCACTATGCTTGGGGTACTTTTAATTTTTATTACTTTTATTTATTTATTTATTGGGGGTGCACACATGCCATGGCATGTGTGTGGAAGTCAGAGGATAATTTGCAGGAGTTGGTCCTCTCCTTCTACTATGTGGACCAGAGATCAAACTCAGGTTGTCAGGCGTGATAGTTAGCATCTTTACCTGCTGAGCCATCTCACTGGTCCTGAAGAGGCCCATGTCAGGGCAGAAAATGTTGACATAGGATGACAAAAAAGCAAGGACCAATGTTCTCCCTGGGGGAAATACCTAGAAGTAGTAAAGGAGTAAGGCCTTTGAAAGTGAGGAGGATGTGGACAGAAGAAAGCTGCTGGTCCTTCTTAACAGGAGTCACATTTGGGGGTATTAAGAAACAGACTGGGATGCTTTCTCTGACTGGTCTGCTAGTTCCCTTAGTCCTTGGAGACTATTATAAAGAAATCCCTCCATTGGAGATAAAATCTAAGCTCTAAGTAAAAAGTTAAGCCTCATGAAAAAAAACTACTCATAAAAAATAATAGCTCCTCAACACTTGAAGCAGGGCTCTCTGTTTGGACATAACAAGAATGGCAGAGGGTAAGGGGCCAAGCTGAAAGAGACAGGCCTTGATACATGTTGTGCTGGGTGTCTTTCCCTCCATTCCATCAATTAATGCTAGGCCCTGTGGACAACAGGAGAGCCTCAACTCTTCCCTAGACGGAAAAGCCCACATTGTACCATGACTCTACATCCCTATCTGACTCTAGCTTTTCTCCCGTTCTCAGGTAAGCTTTTGGAAAAGCTGAGTTGATTTCATCCTCCAGTTTAAAACAAACAAACAAAAACAAAACCTCATGGACTCATCCTTCATCTCCCTGCTATAACTGCCCTAATCCAAGTTCAGCTCATCTCTTACCTGCCTCGAGTCTACTTCTTCTAAGGCAGCTGGACTTCCAAGATATTAGTTGGAATCACTGGTTTCCCTTGCTTGAACTTGTGAACTGTGCACTGAAGCTTCCTTCACCTATC